ACACCCGCATCCTCAGTTATATCCAAGACACCTCCCTCAACACCCGCGTCCTCGGTTATGTCCGCGACACCTCCCTCAACACCTGCATCCTCAGTTATATCCAAGACACCTCCCTCAACACCCTCGTCCTCAGTCATATCCACGCCTAGGGCGGCAGAATAGAGAGGGGGGCGTCCGCGACACCTCCCTCAACACCCGCGTCCTCGGTTATGTCCGCGACACCTCCCTCAACACCCGCGTCCTCAGTTATATCCGCGATACCTCCCTCTCCACCCACATCCTCAGTTATATCCGCGACACCTCCCTCAACACCCGCGTCCTCGGTTATGTCCACGACACCTCCCTCACCACCTTCGTCCTCAATCATATCCGCGCCTAGGACGGCTGAATGGAGAGGGCAGCGTCCGCGACACCTCCCTCACCCACCCACGTCCTCAGTTATATCTGCGAACCCCCCCCCCCCTTTCTTCAATTTCATCCGTGACACCCCATCGGTGCCGAAACACGGTGTTGAGAAGCCTTTACAATTAATTAACCGTGACAAATTAAAGCGCGGTAAATAGTGAAACCGGTTAATCGTTGCATCTCTAGTGCATAGTTGAAATGGATAGATTTGAAATAAGTTCTTGAGTGTTTGCATGAATGGAGACATCAGAAATGCTGTGATGTTGATCTGTCTATGCTTAATGTTCATCTGCTGTGATGTTCAGTCTGTGGCAGCTGGCGGTGGATTATTTGGACCACTGTCCTGAGTTTGGTCGCGTGTATCTGGAGCTGCAGATCGAGAGAGTGCCGCTCGACACCGAACGCAAAGCCATTAAAGTCCTGCGCATCTGTGAAGACCGACAGATGAGTGAACAGGGTGCGTAACATACGCTTGCATACAAAGTGGACAATTTACTGTGTGCAAAATTTACATATCGCATCAAGCATCTTATCATAAAACATGGGCTGCGTTCAAAATCACTTTCTTTTCTACTATATAGTAATTTTTTTTTTAAATTATGCGAGCTGAATAGTATGTCCGAATTCATTTAGAAAAACAGTAGGTAAGAAGTACCCGGATGACCTACTACTTACAGCGAAATTCTGGAGTGCATCTAATGGATGCTATGCTACCCCATAATGCCACATGAGGGAATTTGTGAATAGTTGGCATTTTGGAGTTTTTTTGGACTATTTTCATTTTGGACTATTTGCGAATAGTTGGTGATTTTAAAGTAGTGGGCAGTTTCGAGTAGTTGTCAATTTTTGAGTGGTAGATGATTTTTTAATAGTTAATGATTTTACAGTAGTAAGCAGTTTTGACAAGTTGGAGATTTTTGAGTAGTAGACTATTTTTAAATAGTTAATGAATATTGAGTAGTCTGCAGTTTCCATTAGTTGGCGATTTTTGAGTAATAGACGATTTTCAAATAGTGATTTTAGAGTAGTAGGCAGTTTAGACTATTTGTCAATTTTTGAGTAGTAGACAATTTTTGAATAGTGATTTTAGAGTAGAAGGCTGTTTCAACTAGTTGCGGATTTTTGAGTAGTAGATGATTTTTAAAAAGTTAGTGATTTTAAAGTAGTCGGCAATTTCGACTAGTTGGCAGTTTTTGAGTAGTATACGATTTTCAAATAGTTAATGATTTTAGAGTAGTAGGCAGTTTCAACTAGTTGGCGATTTTAAGTGGTATGTGATTTTCGAGTAGTGGGTGATTTTTAGAGAAGTAGGCAGTTTCAAGTAGTTGGCAGTTTCTGGTAGTAGGCAATTTTCGGGTGGTTGTTGGTTTTCGAATAGTTGGTGATTTTAGAGTTGTAGGCAGTTTCGAGAAGTTGACAATATTCGGGTGGTTGGTAATTTTGGTTGGTGGTGCTCATAAAGTAGTTGGCGGTTTCGAGTAGTAAGCTTTTTTTGTTGGTTTGTTTGTTTTGTTTTTTCCCCGAAATAGTTAATTGTTTCGAGTAGTAGATCGATATTCAAGTTGCTGATCGGTAGTTGATTATTTCTAAGTGGTTGGTGATTTCCGAGTAGTAGGCGATTTTTCGAAAAGATGGTGATTTTGAGTTGTAGGCGATTTTCGAGTGGTAAGTGATTTCCAATAGTATGCAATTTTTGAGAGTTTGGTGATTTTTGAGTAGTAATTTTTGAATAGGTGTTGATTTTAGATTAGTTGGCAGTTTAGAGTAGTTGGTGATTTTTTTTTTTGAGTAGTTAGCAGTTGTCAGGTGGTTGGTGATTTTCTAATAGTTGGTGATTTTAGAGTAGTAGGTGGGTCAAGTAGTTACCAATTAATGGTTGACGATTTTTCAGGGGGTTTTCGATTTTGGAGTAGTAGGTGATTTTTGAATAGTTGGGAATTTCAGAGTTTTAGGCGTTTTCGAGTAGTAAGCGGTTTTGAGTAGTAGGTGTTCTTTGAGTGGTTGGTGATTTTCCATTAGTTGGCGATTTTCGAATAGTTGATATAAAATTAGTAGACAGTTTCAAGTAGTTTGAGATTTTTTTTTTAAGGATAATTAAACTGTTTCGAGTAGTAAATTCTTTTGAGTAGTAGATCGATTTTCAGGTAGTTGGTGATTTTGAGTAGTTGGCGATTTCATACGCAGCCTATCCTAAATGCAAAAGGGTGTAATGCAGAGACTGTATAAAGTTATATAAGTTAATAATGTGTGCGTGCGTGTGTGTGTGTGTTTGTTTCAGTGCGCAGTATCTGTAAGATCATGGCTAAAAGAGCTCTGAGGAACAACAGACTGGGATCTGCTCTGTCCTGGAGTATCAGAGCAAAAGACGCCGCGCTCGCTACACTCATCTCCGAGAGGTCTCTCACACACACACACACACACACACACACACACACACACACACAATAATGTGATAAAATAAGCACATGATAATCCTCAGTTTCTCTGAATGTACAATTTGCAAGTTCATGTGTTCAAGTAAAACGTCATTTTTGTATAAAATTTCTTTCTATAATTTAGAGTGTTTGTTGCTGTTGCTTAAAATGTAAAAAAAGTGTATAATCAAACTTTATAGATTTTAAAATATATAACTAAAAGTAATGTATATGCATGTTTTGCTAACATATTAATATACAAGAAAAAATACCAATGTTTTTTTTGGACCAATATTTGGAGAAACAACTCATACGTTTTATTCCCAACAATTGAACAAAATAAAATTGCCAATATATTAAATATTATTATTATTGTAATTTAGATTTTTTTTGCGTTTAATAAAATAAAATAAAAAAATAACTATAATTCTTAGTATTTTATTTTTTAGGTGTATTAAGTATTAAATTCAGTATTTTCAGTCCCAACAAATAAACAAAACAGAAAAAAACTCTAAATGGCTAGAGTAGAATAGAGCAAAATGAACTGTAAATCATTTTAAATTATTATTTTTAATTGACATTTTTTGCATTAAAATAAAATAAATAACCATTATCTTAATAATTAATGTTTTAATTTCAGAAGAATTAGGAATATTCAATATTTGGTGAAATAAGCTTGATTTTTCAGCTATAACAAATTAAAAAAACCCTGAAAAAAGTTATTCAACTGCTCTTGTGTTTTCCGCAGGTTTCTTCAGGATTACAGTAATAAGGGCTCTTTCACAGATCTGGATGTGTTGGATAATCTGGGTCCTGCCATGCTGCTCAGTGACAGACTGACGTTTTTAGGTACAACATGATGCAAATGATGGGGTTTGTGTGAAATATGGATCAATGTGACGTTTATTCTCTGCTCTGGCACAGTACCTTCATTTAGATTTCTTGCTCTAGCTGTGATCAGTTTTTTAATGCACATTAATATGCACAAACATAATCCAGTATTAAATGTCCAAGTCAATATTCAGTCGCTATCTTTAGCAAAGGCACATACATTCAGCTCTAGCAAAATATTTTAGTATGAAACGGCCATTATTAGACTTATAGTTTCAGTTCTTGATTTTGATTGGTTAAGGCGTGTTTAAAGCTGTTGTAAAATACTCTACAAACACACACCTGTGACTATTGCTTGGCAACCGTTCCGCTATCAGCACTGAGCCAAAAAAACTGTTTTATTTGGTTATACTGTACTATATATGGAGTTAATCAATGAAAAAAAGCAACAAACCCTATGAAACTGGGGTTATGTTAGTGGTTTTTCGAGTAGTTGGTGTTCGAATAGTTAACGAATCTGTTCGAGTAGTTGCAGATTTTCGAGAAAAAGGTGATTTTGCGTAGTTGCCAGCCGTAGTTGGTGGTTTTAGGTAGTTGCAGATTTTTCAGAAGTTGGTGGTTTCGAGTAGTTGGCAGTTTTGAGTAGTTGATGGTTTTGAGTCGCTGGCTGTTTTGAGTAGTTGCAGATTTTTCGAGAAGTAGGCGGTTGCATGTAGTTGGCGTTTTTAAGTATTGGGTAATTTTTGAGAAGTAGGCAGTTCAGAATAGTTGATGGTTTGGAGTTATTGGCGGTTTTGAGTTGGTGGTGTCGTGTAGTTGGCAGTTTTGAGTAGTTGATGGTTTTGAGTTGCTGTCGTTTTTGAGTAGTTGCTGATTTTCGAAAAGTAGGCTGTTGCAAGTAGTTGGCGATTTCACATACTTGGTGATTTTCGAGAAGCAGACGGTTCAGAATAGTTGGTCGTTTGGAGTAGTTCGCGGTATCGAGTTGGTGGTTTTGAGCACTTGTCAGTTTTGAGAAGTTGCCGATTTTCGAGTAGTAGGCGGTTTTGATAAGTTGGAGGTTTTCGAGTAATTGCGGTGTCGAGTAGTTGGCGATTTGGAGTAGTTTGCGGTTTCAAGAAGTTGTCGATTTTTGAGAAGTAGGTGGTTTTGAGTACTTGCCGATTTTCGAGAAGTGCACAGTTTAGAGTAGTTGGTGGTTTCAAGTAGTTGGTGGGTTGTTGAGTACTTGGCGTTTTCAAGTAGTTGCTGATTTTTGAGTATTTGGCGTTTTTAAGTTGTTGACAATTTTTGAGTAGCTGGCATTTTCAAGTAGTTGACTATTTTTGAGTAGTTGCCGTTTTCAAATAGTTGACAATTTTTAAGTAGTTGGCGTTTTTCAAGTAGTTGACGATTTTTGAGTGGTTGGCCTTTCTTAGTAGTTGGCGATTTTTTTGAGTAGTGGGCGTTTTCAACTAGTTGACGATTTTTGAGAAGTAGGCGGTTTTGAGTAGTTTGCAGGTTCGAGTAGTTCATGATTTTGGAGGTTTTGAGAAGTATCACATTCATACTGTATAGAACATACTTTTTAATGGTCGTAAAGTAAATTCAAATGTAGCACATACTCTAGTAGTAGGCGATTTCAGATGCAGCCAGAAAAGTAAATACATTTCCTGTGAATGGTAGTGTTGGAGTAGTGTTTAAAAAATAGATTATAAAGTATAAAAACATGTCTTATGGAATGTCGCCACAAGTCACCAATACAAATGTGTGTGTTTGTAGGAAAGTATCGTGAGTTTCACAGGCTTTACGGTGAGAATCGATTCTCAGATGCGGCCAAACTCCTGCTGTCACTCATGATGGCGAAGATCGCTCCACGCAGTCTGTGGATGACCCTGCTGACTGACGCACTACCACTGCTGGAGCAGGAGGAGGTCACTCATACACACACACACACACACACACACACGGTTAACTTTACTCTGTTTTGCACATTTTCTAGGTGCAGTTGAGTTGGAACAGATCTTTTAATACCAGTTTTTTTTACAAATCTTGTTTTGTGGACATGTTTACATTTGTTACTATGGAGACATGTTAATACGCTTCTGTCAATTAATTTGGTGGGCAGGGAAAACCATACTCCTACATCATGACTAATGACTATTTTTGTCCGTCAGCTTAACTTATAGTCTGTTAGCGTTGTAAGCATTTTTTAGCTTGACTGGCTGTGTTTGTTTGCCTGTACAGGTGATCTTCACAGTGGATCAGACGTATGAGCTCATGTCCTGTCTGGAAGAGCTCAACTCAGGAACCAAAGACTCCAATCAGATGGAGCAGGTAAAACAACCATCTAAATATGAGAAATAAATTTAAGAAGATTTAAGAAGATGCAGACTAGAAACAAGTTAAAACGATCTGCCAATGCAGTAAGATAATTATACTGGGTAAGATTTCTTGAAAGGGGAAAAAATGTCATAAAGTATTGTAACACTTATTCTAAGCAGTGTATTTAGTCTAATTATCTCAAAACTAGCTCAGTAATTGTTTTTTTGCTTTCTTATTTTGTGTGAAAATGTCTATATTTACTAAACCTGAGTAACTTTACACCAAATTTGCATGTAAAATACATAGCTTTGTTAAATTTGAGGGGTAAAATACATACCTTTACACTAAATTTCTTTTAGATAAATACAAAACTTAACGCAAAATGTGCAGGTAAATTACATAATTTTACACTTAATTTACAGATAAAATACATAACTTTACATTAAATTTGCAGGTAAAATGCATAACTTTACGCCAATTCTGCAGGTAAAATACCTAACTTTAAATTTGCAGGTAAAATACATAACTTTACATTAAATTTGCAGGTAAAATACACAACTTTACATTAAATTTGCAGGTAAAATGCATAACTTTTTGCCAATTTTGCAGATAAAGTGCATAACTACTTTAAATTTGCAGTTAAAATACATAACTTTACATTAAATTTGCAGGTAAAATGCATAACGTTTTGCCAATTTTGCAGATAAAGTGCATAACTACTTTAAATTTGCAGGTAAAATACATAACTTTACACTAAATTTCTTTTAGTTAAAATACAAAACTTGATGCCAAACTTGCAGGTAAATTACATAACTTTACTCTAAATTTGCAGGTAAAAAGCATAACTTTATGGCAAACTTGCAAGTAAAATACATAATTTTACATTAAATTTGCAGGTAAAATGCATAACTTTATGCCCATCTTGCAGATAAAATACATAACTTTGAATGTGCAGGTAAAATACATAACTTTATGTAAAATTTGCAGGTAAATTACATAACTTTACACCAAATTTCTTTTAGATAAAATTCAAAACTTTACGACAAATTTGCAGGTAAATGACATAACTTTACGGCAAACTTGCAGATAAAAATCACAACTTTACATTAAATTTGCAGGTAAAATATAGAAATTTACATTAAATTTGCAGGTAAAGTTCATAACTTTAAATTAAGTTTGCAGGTAAAATGCATAACTTTACATTAAGTTTGCAGGTAAAATGCATGACTTTTACACCAATCTTGCAGATAAAATGCAAAACCTAACGTTAAATTTGCAGGTAGAATACAAAACTTAACGGTAAATTTGCAGGTAAAATACAAAACCTAACGTTAAATTTGCAGGTAGAATACAAAACTTAACGGTAAATTTGCAGGTAAAATACAAAACTTAACGTTAAATTTGCAGGTAAAATACAAAACTTTACGGTAAATTTGCAGGTAAAATACAAAACTTAACGTAAAATTTGCAGGTAAAATACAAAACTTTACATTAAATTTGCAGGTAAAATACAGAAATTTACATTAAATTTGCGGGTAAAGTTCTTAACTTTACATTAAATTTGTAGGTAAAATACAGATCTTTATGCCAAATTTGCTGATAAAATACAGAACTTTACATCAAATTTGCAGGTAAAATACAGAACTTTACAATAAATTTGCAGGTAAAGTTCATAACTTTACATTAAGTTTGCAGGTAAAATGCATAACTTTACGCCAGTCTTGCAGATAAAATGCATAACTTTACAATAGATTTGCAGGTAAAATACTAAACTTAACATTAAATTTGCAGGTAAAATACATAAATTTACACTAAATTTCTTTTAGAAAAAAATACAAAAACTTAACGCCAAATTTGCAGGTAAATTACATAACTTTAGACTAAATATGCAGGTAAAAACATAACTTTATGCCAAACTTACAGGTAAAATACAAAACTTTATGTTACATTTGCAGGTAAGCATACATAAATTATGCAAAATTTGCAGGTAAAATGCATAACTTTACACCAAATTTACAGATAAAATACATTTTACATTAAATTCCCAGGTAAAATGCATAACTTTATGCCAACCTTGCAGATAAAATATATAACTTTAAATTTGCAGGTAAAATGCATAACTTTGTTACATTTGCAGATAAAAATACATAACTTTACACAAAATTTGCAGGTAAATTACACAACTTTACGCCAAATTTACAGGTAAAATACATAATTTTACATTAAATTTGCAGGTAAAATGCATAACTTTACATTAAATTTGCAGGTAAATTACATAACTTTACACTAAAATTCTTTTAGATAAAATACAAAACTTTATGCCTAATATGCAGCTAAATGCATAACTTTACATCAAAATTGTATCTAAAATGCATAACTTAACATTAAATTTGTAGGTAAAATGCATAACTTTGTTAAATTTGTAGGTTAAAATACATTACTACATCAAAATTGCAGGCAAAATTGATAACTTTAATTCCACATGCTATTGTTGAATTGCTCATTAATTAATCTAATAAAAATTCATTCTCTAAGTTGTTTGTTCTTTGATGTTTTAGGAGGAAGATCTGGAGTCCACGAAGACGGAGCTGTTGCGAGTGGCGTTGGCTCGTAATCTTGCTACGGCCATCGTCAAAGAGGGGACCATAGAAACATAAATGCATCTGATCGTCCAGCTGTTTTTTTTCTGTATATAAATCTGAAGACTTGAGTAAAAGTGTGACCTCTTTAATAAAACCCTTTTCCAGTTTTTGCTAGAAAAAAATGGTTTCATATATGTTTTTTGTTTGTAAAGAGTTATGGGGAAAACTGGATTGTTTGCATTAAAACAGCATCTCCTCTAGTCTGATTAACTTGTGTAGGAAATTGTGAAGTATTAATACAATACAGATTAATTATATGTATAATTTAAATTACTTTAAATAGGCTTGATATTATTAGTACAGTTTTTATAGTACTTACAGATGGATATAAGCCATATTTACAAAAAAACCTATGACCAAATGGATAATTTTAGCTGTACGAGAAAATTCAATTTAATTAAATTAATAATACAAATGAGAAATCCAACAAATAATTAAAAACAACATACACACATACAGTAAATATGCCAGAAATGTGAGTGTACAGACAAAACATTCATTAAGAATTTTAAAAAGTTGTAAAATTATCACATACATTGAAATAAGGTCATACAGTATATCAAAATTATTTGACTTGAATGCATTATTTGTTTTGTTTTTTCTAAGAAAATTTCACATATCTGCCCAGAAAATACTCACATAATCACAAAACAAATTGACAATTTCTATTTCCATTGAAAACAGAGAGCAGATTTATTTAACACATTTATTAACATATTTGTTTTAATAACTCATTTCTAATAACTGATTTATTTTATCTGTGCCATGATGACAGTACGTAATATTTTACAAGGCACTTCTATACAGCTTAAAGTGACATTTAAAGGCTTAACTAGGTTAATTAGGTTAACTAGGCAGGTTAGGGTAATTAGGTAAGTTATTGTATAACGATGGTTTGTTCTGTAGACTATCAAGAAAAAATGTAGCTTAAAGGGGCTAATATATTTGACCTTAAAATGGTGTTTAAAAATTAAAATCTGCTTTTATTCTAGCCGAAATAAAACAAATAAGACTTTCTCCAGAAGAAAAAATATTATCATTTTTTCGAAAATTCGAAGGGGGCTAATAATTCTGATATATATATATATATATATATATATATATATATATATATATATATAAAAACGTAAGATACGTTAACATTTAAAAGTCTAACGCAGTGTTTCTCTGTTTTTTGATGACGCTGAGAAACACTGTTCTAACACATTGTAATTTTTGTACCAACTTTAGCAGAGATTTTTAAATGGAATACACCTATTATACTAAATGAGTTAATTAAGGTAAATGATGGTTGTTGACCCCGAGTCCTGACCAGAACATGACCAGCATAAACCAGTTTTTGATCAAATCACAATAGCATGCTGTTTTTTTTTTTTATCTTATAAATGCAATAAGTTCTGTGTGACACTTTGGCAACCAAAATTCGAGACATTGCAACCTGCAGAACCTATAGGTAGATAAATAAAAAAAAAAAATATATATATATATATATATAAATATATATTTATATATATATACAATTGTTTTAATTTTAGAAAGGAACAAAAAATGTGTGAGACTGATAGAAGAGACCAGAGATAACGTTAAATTTACTGGCCTACCATAGGTGCTGCTTTAGAAATACCTCGCGTTACTTTTTTATGTGTAATTTAATGCAAAGATGCTAAAATACAAAGTGTAGCTTGATAAATATACATACTTTTCAAAACTCCACACAGAAACGCCAACTGACCCAGCCGAGGCTGGAACCTGCGACCTTCTTGCTGTGAGGTGACAGCACTACCCACTGCACCACAGAGTCGCCTGAAATATAAATAGATATTGAAAACCTTCGATGATTTAATGACCGTGCCGCCACACTGAGTGACGTTCGATTTGAAAACAAGCCGTTATTTTCAACCGTTTATGTGACGCCATGGCTTGGCTGAAGTATATTTTAATGTCATATAAATGTCCTTCTTTTCGTGAATGCGTATTCACAATTCAGCTATATTTCACTCAGCTACTTTTATTACTCCACAAAACGTCGTCTTTCATATTCAGGGATGAGAAGAACACGGAGAAGCAGACGCAAATCTTCCAGAAAAACAACACAAGGTTAGCGTCACTCGCACAATCCTTTTGTTTTCTTTCAACAGCAAACACTTTCTTTTTTGAAACATTTAACTTTTAATACGCTCTTTTTGACCCAAGACTGGGTGAAGATTACACATGTAAACACGTATTGTTTAGTATGTAAGTAATTTACCTTCTTTTTGAAAGTTAAAATTGGAGATATTAGGTGTTTAAAGAGCCCATATTATGGGTTTTTGAAAATTCCCCTCCATGTAGTGTGTAACACAGCTCTAAGTGAAGTGAAGTATCCAGCTAAGGCTTAAATCTGTAAGAATACAGTGTTTAAAACTGTTGATTCATCTATAAAAGAGTCGATTCATAGTGCTTCAAACGAGTCGCCTTGATACCGACTCATTAGGTGTTTCGCCATGACGTACGAACGAAACCAAGTTATTCACGTGCACGCGCAAACCCGGGAGATTTCAAACCTGAGGCCCCGCCCTCTGACGCAGTAACCCAGACACACACACACACCCACACACACCCACAAACACACGCACACAAACATGCCGGTCGATTGAAGTCACATTGCAGATGGATATATTGAGTCTCTACCCAAAGATGAAACCTCAGCATTATAGCCAAGCAGTTGGAAACTACTGGAAACTTCTGGAAGCTACATGCTACAAAGAATACTTCATCTGCGTTTGTTAAAGGAAGGATCAGTAACTTACTGATGGACATCAGGATGGGTTTCTTCCATTTCTCAAGTGTAAGTACGTGCGGTTAAAGTTGTTGCCTCGTTGACTCTAGCTTGCAAATGTATTTAGTTGTGATTTGTTACTTGTAACCGCGTGTACTGTATCAGGTTAACTGGCTAGGTTTTATTCTCTTATCGCGTGCAAAGTCACGTTAAAAACGCGACGCGTGCTGCTTTGTTTATGGAGCTCCGTGGTAACGTTAGAGGTGTGCATACCCGCGGCTGTCCCCGCGCCAGATTTCTGCGGCGCGGGAATAAATTTCCGAATAAATCGCCGGAGCGGTCGGTAACGGGTTTGATTTGGGACGGGAGCGGGCTGCCTGAGAAAGAGAAAGATGTGTCTGCTTGGTGCTTGTGTGTTAGTGCGCACGCGCGCGTATGAGAGAGAGAGAGAGCGAGCGAGCGAGCGAGAGCTTTATGCTTGGTGCTGTGTGTGTGTTTATACAGATTTTCGGTTTTGTTCTCCCCCGCTCTTTAGCGGGATCGGGCGCGGCGGGCAGAATACGGGGCGGGTTCTAAGGCTAAAACCTGGCGGGTGCGGGCGGAAGCGGGAGCGTTCTCGTCCGGAGGTGTGTGTGTGTGTTTGTGTGTGTGTGGCAGCTAAAATCCACGCCTACACTATCTAGCGTGTATGAACTGTGATTACTTTTTAAATTGCTGATTAGCTATTGGCCATTTCCCTCTCTGACTGAAGGCAGTCGACCAATCGCGACAGACTGTCATCGGTCCAATCAGCGCAGATTAGCTTCGCGCTAAGGAGGGGTTTGGGAACAAATGAATCACTGAACGATTCATACAGGAGTCGCTGGGATAATTAGGTAAAAATAAATGCAGATTATAAGACCATGAAAGTGTTTTTTGACCTTGCATGCATATTAGACTGTTGTTGGAGACCCTTACAACCAAGATATGACCCTATTTCATGTATAATATGGGCTCTTTAAAACACGAGGCTGCTAAATCAGATCATTTCTGTTTTTCCTGTCTCCCAAGCTAATCAGGTAAGTCGTTTTTTTTTTTAGTTTTTTTTTTCGGAAAAGGACAGACTAATGTGCACAGAAAGTTAGATTTCTTTAAATATATACAGTTGAAGTCAAAATTATTAGCCCCCCTTTGAATTCTTTTTTAAATATTTCCCAAATGATGTTTAAGAGAGCAGATCTTTAATACAAACAGGTGACCACGAACCTAATGTCGCATATACCCCTACAGAAAAATCCAACTTAAACCAGCCTAGGCTGGTTTAAGCTGGATTTTTCAGTGGGGATGTCATTCAGTTTCTGAATGGTTTAGGCACAAGCCAACAGTTTGGTAACACTGTCTGCTTCTTACATCATTTTTTTTATTATGCACAGTAATACCAGATACCGAGGTAAAATAGGGAGGAGGTTTGGCGGTATCAAAATTTGAATACCGACCAAGCCTAACTATGTGATAACTAAATACATTTAGGCAAGTTTAATCATACCAACAATTTGAAAAATTTCTGTGGCATATGGAAAAAAATAGAGCAATTCATAATAAAAAATTAGGACTGCACAACATATGGTTTCAGCATTGATACCGCAATGTGTGCACCAACGCATGATGTTGAGCTGGCAACATTATAGCTGATTATAATCAATGCAGAGTTTATCATAATGGAGTAAAAGTTTATCATCTGCATGATTTTTTTTTTAAGATATAGATCACCCCAAAATTAAACTACTTACTATTTTCATTACACCCTTGTTTCAAACGTTTATGAGGTTTTCTATGTTGAACACATAAAGAAGATCTTTTAATAACCCATGAACAACAAGTGAAGGGTGAGTAAATAGTGAGTAAAGGTTCATTTTGTGGGTGAACTATCCCTTTAAGGCCGGCAACTATGAACATTTCAACATTTCAGGTTTAACACATCTGGCCACGGGAAATTACAATGCTTGTAACTTTAATAAAGATTTTATTATATTCCAACATCATGCAGCCCTAATCCAAATGAAGCATTTAAACACAATGAAACAAGCGCAGGTCATTCCATCTGAATCTTTAATGGCGCAGTAAACATGAAATCATTATTAGACACCAGAGCATTGCATCATCATCATCATCATCAACCATTATAACTTCTAATAACTTGTACATTTGTCCCACATAGTTTCCATCTTAAGTCCTAAATACCTGGTCATCAACATCAGAGCAGGTGAAGCTTTGGCTCTTTGACAGAGATACAATTGATTCATTAACACACACATGAGGATCCTCATAAAACACTGGAAATGATGCAAATGCATAATAATTCATCAAAACCTTCTTCCTCCTCAG